TCCCCTCCCTCCTCTTTTCTATCTCCCACTTTCCCTCTGTTACTCTCTCTCTCTCTCTCTCTCTCTCTCTCTCTCTATATATATATATATATATATATATATATATATATATATATATATATATATATATATATATATATATATATATATATATCCCCCCTTTCTAGTTTTTTCAGTAATAATTACTTTTAAGTGTATACAGCAGAAAGGTGGAATTTCTCAGAGCCTGCCTTTAAAAAAGTGTAAATGTTTTAATGACCCCCCACCCCCCCCCCCCCTCATGGAAAAAGGTCACAAAGAAGACCGACGTCTGTGGTGTAGCGGTTAGGTGATTTACAGTCGCATTCTGAAGACCTAAGTTCAATTTTTGCGCGGGGGAGACCTTTTATATAAAATGCCTCCATTTTTCAGCTGGGAAGTATCCATTTTAGACCGGCTGGTCCTTTAATGATCCAAACTGTGTCGATCGGGGTGTAAAACACCTACACTAAACAAAAAGAAAAATAGAACATATTTTTAAAAGGCTCCTATCGCCCTAAAACTGTACGGATATGACACCCATTTTTATGTACATAAAGCTACAAGGACTTGACACACGTCTTTATGTACCTTAAACATACAATGGCGTGACACACGTCCTTATGTACAACACGGAGTCCCACATAAGAGCAATTGACGTGAAATTACTTTTACGAAAGAGAAAGCAGCTGAGCGAAGGAAACTACACTCACTGCCCCCACCTCGACCAATGTGATATTGCCCTAGGTGACACCTAAGGATGCATCAGTGTTCTGTCAATCATAAGAGACGATTTCACCTCACGCTAACCAATGTGCGATATCACTTCCAAGAGCTGAAGATCGGCAGCACTCTATTTGATTATCACCTGTACGCTACCGTAAGCTGACAAAACGCCAGTTTTTCATTTTTGGTGCCATTTAAAACAAAAAAGATAAATCGATAGCCTGATCAGTTATCCTACTTGTGTGAAAAAAACACAAAGTGAAAGTGGCTAGTTTTTAAATTTATTATTAGAATTTTAAATTTTGGAAGTACGCCTGTTTATGGTAACGCTGACAAAAGCCTTTTTATCTCGAAACCGCTGTGAATAAGACAAAGACTTTTTGTCAGCGTACGGCAGTACATGGATGCCCTCTCTGTGGTTCGGTTAAAGATGATTGAGCTGCAATCTTCTGATTACTCAAGTTCCTCTCCGACTGGTTGTTATCGTCAAGTAGCCACGTCCATCGTTTCCTGTGTTGTTTGCCTGTGCTCTCTATACGATTGCAATGTTCGGTTGGACTTTCTAGTTTGAAAGCTCATGTTTATCGAAGAGCATAGAACAGTAGATTTCTCATTAACGGCAAACAAGGAAGATCACTGACTACTGTGTTCGTGTATTTGTGGCACTGATATTTGAGGAAAAAAAAGGGGGGGGGGAGGTGTTCACCCACAATGACCGTCTTTGGGTTTGTTTTTTTTATCCACAAAAAATGAGTTTTTAATTGAAATAAAAGGTATACAGCCCCCCACCCCCCATAAAAGAAGAAAAGGTAACAATCGTCTAACATGCCACGGTGCAACATAATTACACAATTACGTCTACGTCAAACGAAACAAGTAGGAAAAGCACCTTTCCTTAAGACACACAATCCTCTTTGGAACGTCAGAGCATTACAATAACGACCTCACGATTGCGAGTCAGGTGTCAAGATATTGACTAATGAGACATGGATGTTTCTTCGTTTCAGGAATTCAATCAGGTGAGCTGGAAGTACTTTCATTCGAGAACTAGATCCCTATTAAAGACAATACTGCCCTGCGTGAAGACTGCTTCCATTGTCTGATACATTACTGAAGAATGAATGGTGGGGTTTGAAGGGGGGGGGGTGTCTGTCTGTCTGTTTATTACTTGGCCAGACAATTAAGATTGCACGTTTTTTCCCTTAAAATATTGTTAACTATTGACGTCACCGCTTCTGTGTTATCTAGCTGTTCATCAGTCTGGAATTTGTCTCCCTTAAATTTCTTTTGGACGTTTTAATTATTGCGAATGTCGCTCTCAAATTTACTTGAGTCTTTAAAATGAGAATTGTCTCTTATTACAAGCCTTTTTTCTGCCTGTCTTCTTTATCTAAGATTCTACCTGCTGCTTGCTCGCCAGCTCTTGCAGAGTATTTTCCGTTCTCTTCTCAGCCCTCTTTGACTATAATAATTTGCAAAGCGGCATGGTGAAGTAAAACTGTCGTCAAAATGATTTAAGTGAAGAAATCTGCATTTGTCCACCCGCTTGGCATTTTCATCGATTTTTTTATTTTGGCTCAATACCTGTTATATCCATTTAAAAACACAGTCCTGTGTGAATTTTACCTAAAAAAACATTGATCAAAACCATAAAGCAATGTAACAAAGCGTGGTTACCAAAGTCGCTCAATCTTGGGAAATTACCAAACTTTGGCGACTATTTTCTCACTACTTTTTCTCTTTTCATCAGCCAACCTCAACCTCTTTCAATCGCAAATATCTCAACTTCTATTCGAGATAGGAGGGTTTTTGTTTAGCAAAAACAAGAAAAATAAACAAGCGTGAAGATGATATCACTACCTCTATAACCCAAACATTTAATAGACGAACGCCTGATTTCACCCCGTCTCAACATATACTATGACTCCCCTCGACTCTTTGCTTACACCTGGACTCACCCCGCCCCACCCACCTGCCAGCCACCACCTCAATTTCCTCTGTTCTCATCTGAGCGATTATCTACTGTCTAAATCTGTTTTTCTGTCTGTTTGTCTGTCTGTTTGTTTGTCCGTCTGTCGCTTGCCTGTCTGGCAGCAGTCTCCCTTTCTTTTTCTCTTTGTCTTTGTATCTCCCTATCTCTGTCTCCCTCTTTCTCACCCTGGGATAAAACCCTTCCTAACTATTCTTCCTTTACTTCTCCTCAAGACACACCTCTCTCCACTTATCTCTCCGTCTGTCTGTTTCTCACTCTGTGCCTCTCCCCTCTCTCTCTCTCCCTCTCTCTCTCTCTCTCTCTCTCTCTCTCTCTCTCTCTCTCTCTCTCTCTCTCTCTCTTCAACACTCAAACACAGAGTCACACAGACACACGTACACACACACACACACACACAAACACACAAAACCAGCATCACCCTGCCTGGCTACCGGACACCAACAAAGCCAGCCGTCCCTTTTCTGGCCACGTACCAGGTGCTAATTAGATCACATGACACAACCAAGAGACAGACGGACCTGAAATACCCTTACCCCTGTCCTAATCACATCTGTGTGTGTCCAGCAAGCGCTGCCAACTGTACAACACAACCCGATTATTACAACCGGCGGTGGCTAATCAGATTCCCATGTCACTCTAGAGGAAGACAGAACACCAGGCTTGGGAAATTTTCTGGTCAGATGCATCTATATGCATAATTTCTTATCCCACTGCCAGCTCATGGGTGTGAACGTACTCAAGAGTGGAAGCCGAAGGAGGGAAATGTAACATAATGTTACTGGAACACTGAACAGAATTAAGGCCTAGTTCCCAGAGTTGTGGTAAGGTAGACTGCATAAAATCAATCGAGAGCTGGAAGCCAACAAGGAAATCGAATTACAAATCCGATATCGGTTAAGCGTTTTACTTCTGTGGTGGAAAAAGAGAGAAAAGATAGGGTTTGGGAGAGAGAAGGGGTAGGTGGGTCGGGGGATGGGGGCTGGGGGGGGGGGGGTAGGGGCCATGAAGGGCAAAAGAGGGAACGACTAAAGTGTGAACGAGGAAAAGAAGTCAATCCCGATTTCCAAGGTCTGTATATAAAGGTCTTTTGTTGTGAGCGTCATAAAATATGGCACTTGTTGAAAAACAGATCTTCAGAAGTAGAGGGAATAACAGAGAAAAAGAAAGACGTGAAGATTAAAAAGAAAAAAGAAATAAAAGAATAAAAATATAGTTTTGTCATCTCAATCGGAAAAAAGAAAAATGGTAGCAGATGATAGCACAACACGCAGTGGAGCAGTGGAACTGTTTTGCAGTTAGGCCTAGGGTGAACATGGGATTGTTGGTAAAGTGGTTAGGAGCTCGGACTCGAAACTGAAAGGTCGTAGGTTCGAATTCCGTTTTGTCCTTGGGAAGGGAAAGGCACTTATACGAATTTTTCTTACTTCATACAGGTGGAAATGGATACAAGGTTAAAGACAGCGAAAGGCCTTGTCATCTTGTTATTGTTTTAGGGCTTAATCAGCTGCTTGCACAGTAAGCTTCCCATGAGGACGAGAATGTTACTCAATGTTCAAGGGTCTGTTGGGGTAAAGTAAAGTAAAGTTGTTCCCGCATCCGATCCGGACATTGGGGATTGCCTTGTTAGTGAGAAAACTTCCAGGGCCTTCGGCATATTGTGGTAGGGTCTGTTGGGGTCATAATAGCGTAACGCTCATAGCTCTTGCAGTCAAGCGGGGGAATGCATTATACAATTATGTTAATTACAGTTAATTATTAATGGGAGTCGTATTGTAACTATAATGTGTGTTTTTTTTGCTCAAGACACACGTGGCTGGGCTCCCATCTAGAAGCTGACACTGCTTGACATAACTTGTAATCTTAAGCTAACTAAGGTTTAGAGCCCTATAAAAAAAAGAAACAGATGGGGCTTCCAAAGTCACATTAGATTTATATGCTAAGAAGTTCAATGCTCAAGAAGTTATCAAGTTCTTCTTGTTCTTCTTCTTCTCGTTTTTCTTCTTCTTGTTCTTGTTCTTCTTCTTGTTCTTCTTCTTCGTCTTCTTCTGACTGTAAAAATCTTCATCTGCGAGTGGAGCTGAATTTGACGTAAATGGCCGTTTTATTTACACAGAATAAACTTTGATATTTGCCCGGAAAGCGCCCCGAAAGGCCGGAGGTTGGCTTGGATATGTAGGTCCAGCCTCTTAAATGGCCCTTTTGTGCAGAAAAATACATTTAAAAGAACCATAATATACAGTACCTACGTTTGTAAGAGGCTAACTAAAGTAGTGTAATGGGTTTTTTTTTAGGGACGGAGGGTACTAAAGTTATTTCAAATCATGACGTCTTCTTGCAAACAACGAGGTCAACTGAATAATTGAGCTGAAGCAAATTCGTCCTCCTCTATAGATTTCGAACATGAAATAACACTGTTTCGTTTGAGAAAATGATCGCAATGACAAAATAACGGTCACATAGCGCAGAAAAAGCTTAGACAGACATACATACACAATTAAACAGAGAGAGAGGGAGAGAGAGAGAGAGAGAGAGAGAGAGAGAGAGAGAGAGAGAGAGAGAGATTAAATATGACATACCCATGCCGCAATCAAACCATCCGCTTAAAATAACACAGCCGACAATAAAGTAACGATTTTCGAGGAACAGTAATACGTCCCGCCGCTCCGGCCCCTCCCACCTCCAACCTCAACGACTCTGCTCTCCCCCCCAGGTCTGACCTGTATCAATGTGGCAGCTGCAGGAATCTGGCGGTTGAAATGTTTCTGTCGTTGCTTTTGCTGGACCTTGAGGGCAAACCCGGACCCGAGGATACCCTGTGGGAGGAGAGAAAACATCATGGGTGATAGGGGATTGTGATTGTGATAACTACTCTCAACCAACGCGCGCAACACACACACACACACACACACACACACACACACATGTACACACTCACGCACGCACGTATGCATGCACGCATGCACGCACACAGATTCTATCTCTCTCTCTCTCTCTCTCTCTCTCTCTCTATCTATCTATCTATCTATCTCTCTCTACTCTATCTGGTGAAAGGGGTAGTGGTAGGTAATCATTATGCTGACAACAGCTTCTACTGATAACAATGTGCAAAAACCACTTTACAGGTGATGCTCACCGCAGGTAAGGCGAAGAATGAGATGGCGAAGACGGCGAAGCACGAGGCCACGATCTTTCCCATCCATGTCTGAGGCACCTTGTCGCCGTAGCCGATCGTCATTACAGTGATCTGTGGGGGTCCGGACAGGTTGAGAGAATGACAGAAGGTTTTTTTTCTATCTCCACACAAGACAAACTTTGCTTAACAAAATACAATGCAGAAATACACAATACTTTGGTCCCTTGAAACGAAACCAGACCATTGTGAAAGATTTGCTTGAAGGAAGGGCGGGGAGCAAGAGAGCCAGTGACAAAGATTAACGTGTATGGACAGCATTAAGACATGGACTGGCCTGGGTATAGCAGAATGTGGAGGGCAGCCTGCGACAGTGAAGGCTGGCTGGTCATTGCACGTCAACCTATGAGTCAGAGATGACACCCCCAGTTAATCCAGATAATGATTTCTAACCTTCAGTTGGGGGGGGGGAGGGTATGCAACAACATTGAAATCAATTTAACAGAGATAGACGTTTCAGATTGGGGAGGGGAGTTCAGAATGAGAGAGAAGGGGGGAGGGAGAGGGAGGAAAAGCGAAAAGAGGAAAATGGAGATACTGAGTAGGATTAAGCGAGAGAAAGAAAAAGGGAGACAGCATGGGAGGGCACAAAGGGGAAAAATGAAGGGGAAAAAGCTAAGAAGAGATAGCAAGATCTATTCAGAATTATGTATTTTTCTTTCACTCACCACACCCCACCACAGGGCATCTGCATAGCTTGAGAAATCTTTTCTCCCGTCTTCCCGTTCGGCCAGGTACACAAAATATGAGGAGAAGATAAGACCCAGAAACCCGATGTACAGAGTTGTGATGAGTTCCTGGGGACAGAGAAAAAAGCAGAAATGCAGAAACTTATAGTTATGATGATTTCATGATGGTGGAGTGATTTTTTAAAATGAAAGACGTACACCAAATCCATAAAGCGGCCTGAAAGCCGAAGTATTGTTTGCAGACGAACAATGTCTTCTTCATCCAAACTGACAAAGCCCCCAAATCTCACCACCTAACTGAACAGCAGCTGTGAGAAAGTTGACATGAGAATAGTACAGCAAAAACAGAACTCATGAAAGTTAGCCGATATCATAGTCCACTGAACATTCGCGTCAATAACCAACAACTGAAACAAGTCAAGGAGTATAAACATATTGGCTGCTTTTTTCCCTTCAGAATTCATGTCCATAGATAGAGAAATAGAAATACGATATAAAAAACCCAACATTGCCACCTATTAGCTCGCTCTCCTTCTATCTCTTCCCAACATTTCCATGGACACAAAGGGACGGCTAATTACTTCAATATGTATACCAACATAATGCTATATAGTGCTACACTTGCGCATTAAGTAAATCTCACGAAAACAAAACCACCGTGTGCGAGATTAAATGTCTCCGAAAAAAAACATTAACGTCAGACAAAGAAAAGAAGACGTAAGAGCAACGCTTGGTACGGAATCCTTCCTGCATTTCAAACAAAAATAAAGATTTGACCAACTGCTACGAATGTCACCTTCCCAGCCAGCCACGAGAGCCTTAAACACCAAGCACTTAAGCTATATCGGAAGAGGTAGGTCACGCAAAAGATAGATTGAGAGAGTCAAGGGAACCCTGGGAAACTATAACATCGCAATTGAAAGAGCTCAAAAGTTGCACCTCCCCTCAAGAGGATAAAAACGTAAAAGTTAAAATAAAAGTAGATTTTGCACGTGAAATAGTTTCACATTAAATTGTAATTCGCCATCTCATATTTTATAAATCGTACGAAGATACATCCCTATTACACTGTAAGGCGTCGGGTAGCCACAGAGGATTTTGTTTTCTACAAGAGATGAAGCTACAAGATTCTTGGCATATTTCAAAGGAGGATGCTAGTAGAATATCATCATCTTTTGAAACAGTCCCTAAATTATGAAACCAGGTTCATAAGAAAAATAAATTATGAAAAGAAAAATAATGTATGAAGACAAATGAAAAGAAAACAAGGGCATAAATACAAAATAAAAACTGATTCGGGATTTTTAATTTTTTTTAGGGGTGGAATAAAGGCAAAATAAAAAGGATGAAAGAAACAAAGAAACATAAACAAACCAGAAAAGACGAACTTGACGTACCTGTCTGTGCAGGTAGATCACTGACCCCAGCAATCTCCAGGTGCCACCCTGTCGATCTACGTGTAACATACGAAGTATCTGGAGGAAGCGAACACCCCTGTGGATTGGTGAGAGCAAGAACAGAGAGGAACGTATTTAAAAAACGGCTGCTCTGTTCTAGTGTTTACGACTGACGATCAAAGACTGCACATTTCTAAAGAGAGACGACATGCTTTTTAAATGTCGATTAGAATCTCTCGAACTTTTTTGTAGCCCCCCCCCAAAAAAAAACCAAAAAAAAAACAACACAAAACAAACCCCCAACCCCCTCATGATTTTTACTGTTTGCTGTTTCTTTGCACCTGTTAAACAGCTTAGCAAATAGATGCATAAGAGACAGGTGCATGAAGCAAATACGTTCATTCGTAAGAATGTATGTTATCTTTCTCTGTCTCTCTGACTGTCTGTCTGTACGTCTGTCTGCCTGTCTGGTTGTCTCTGTCTTTCTCTCTCTGTCTTGATCTGTCTCTCTCTCTCTCTCTCTCTTTCTGTGTGTGTGTGTGTGTGTGTGTGTGTGTGTGTGTGTGTGTGTGTGTGTGT